CCCCCCCTGACTTTAAAGCTGGATCCGCCCCTGATTGAAAATCCATCGTGTAAGAAGCCCGGAGTGTTTAGTATACGGAGTGTCCAAAAGAATACTGCGACATTCTTTGGGTCAAAAGAAGCTATTGATGGCCAAAGTTCTTCAAAAATATTGTGTTTTTAAAAATATCTGAAGAATGGGTCGATGAACAAAAATTCACTTTTGTCGAAGTTGTGCACAACAGTGGTTTGGACAAATTCGCAGCGAATTTTATACAAACCTGTGTACACTGCAAAGCTTGCCCCAAACAATGAACTTTTCGAGTTCTTCCGGTAACAGAGCCGATATATGTCTGGAGAGTTCGGTTGAATCGGATGCCCCCTCTCTCGTAGGCCCCCAGGCCCCCTTTGAACTTACTACCTCGATTGACCGACTGTTTCGGATTTTTTGATGGACCTGTTTTGGGGATTTAACTTTTTTCGTGCGGCGCTTGCTGTCCATCCTGTTCGGTGTGCAACTCGGGGATGAAAGCAAAACAAAAACTTTTTGTAAATATATCTTTGTAAAACAAATCGTACAGGCAACAAATTGGCAAAAATGGCACTAAAACGCGTTACTACATTGCGAAAACTCATGGTAATATCGGACTAGAACTCTCGGGTAAAACTACATAATTAAAAACTAAAATGGTTGGGGACTTTGGCTACTGGCGGTTAACTAGAACTAGGTCAGACGACCTACAGAGCATTATCCATACTCTGATTGGATGGACAGGCTGAACTGTCCGTTTGGGATGGTTGTGGCGTGGTACCAGACTCTGGTGTCAACTAAAACTGCCCGAAAAAAATTAGTAGAGTTGTCCCTAGAAAGGCGCTTGTCCGCTCTCACCTGCATCTCCTGGATGCACCAGAAATTGCAGAGCCTGGCAACGGCTTTGGCACTCGGGAGGCGGCTTTAAAGTCCACACTTTTGAGCCTTGAAGTTGGGCTTGCCACATTAGGCGGTTGATGAAGTCCAGCTGCAAAAAACGCCCCAATCATCCCGCAGAGGCAGCATGTACTGAAAACTCACGTGCATGGTAGCCCCGTCTTCGTAGCCCATAAACACGTACTCCTGCGAAGGTATTTCCGCGTCCTCCGGTAGGAAATGGGGCTTTGGATAGTGCCTCCTCATCTCCTCTAGGATTAGAGGATCGCAGTTGCCCCTGATGAATAAACTCACTAGATACCTTTCCTCCCACCCATGAGCATCTAGGACTTACCACCCAACGTACCAGCTCTTCTCTCCAGGCAAGTTGCTCACTCTGGCACTGGACATTGCAAAAACGTCCCGAATCGAAATAAAGTCGGACTTAAAGTGCAAAAATTGGCACTCTGAATCGTCGGACTTTTCAATGCCAGTGTACAGTTCCTTGAAGAACTGCCAGCTGAATCTCTTCATTGCTGGCCAATGAAGAAAGGCCCGCCTAACAACAATTGGCTGCGAAGAGTACGCGTATGCCTCGAACATCTCCCGCGTCACATTGTTAAATTCGATTGGTTGAGTTACATTTGAGCAAAACGTGCAGTCAGACAAGGCTCTAGTGGCCTCCCATGTGAAGTAGTTGTGGGGCACAATGCAGCGAATCCCTAGGAGGACATTCAGAACGTCATAGCCGATGAGTAGTGAGATGAGCAACGTTAGTGAGCCACAATAAAGCAGTACTCGAAGGGTGGTAGATCGCATTAAAGCAGCCTTGTTTGGGAGGGCTGCATTTTGCAGCTCCTCCTCAGTCAGTCCTAGTTTGTGATACTTTACGTGCGCTTCGATCAGACTTTCTTTGGTAATACTGCGAGTAATTGAGCAAACGTCGTGAGCCATGATGCAGAGCGTTGGGCATTTTCAGGGCTCTGAAACTGGGATAGTCTTGAGTTTTCGCTCTTTCATCCTGACTAGGCTGGGCTTTGTTTACACATTTCTTCATTTAGAATAGGGTATGTTAAATTTTACGTCAATGTGAGCAGTTGGACCATCAGTGTTCTCGCTCCCACTCATGCACTTTGAGCCATCAAGACCCGGCTGAATCAGTAAAGTTCCTAACCGATAGTGACAATTTCAAAGTTATTTATTGTTGGACAGCAACCAAATTTGGTTCATCTATTTCAACTCGCTACTGTTTCCAAAAGTCTAAAATATAGCCGAAAATGGGCGAAGACATCCAAAGGAAGTACCAGAACGAACTGGACAACTTGAAAACCGCGCAAAAAGGTAAACATTCGCTAATCTCACTCGGCTAACCTCCAAATTGCCATTTGAGCCCCCGTTTTGTGCGTTTGCAGAGCTCCAAACGGCCTTATCCACAAGACAGCAGCTCGATGGTCAATTGACGGAAAACGAAATGGCCAAACATGAGCTGAGCTTGCTGCCTGCCGAAGGCAAGGTGTTCAAGTCAGTGGGCCCCGTTCTGATCAAGACCGAGGTAATAGAGGCCAAGCAGAACGTGAGCAAGCGAATAGACTATATTACTAAAGAGATGAAAAAAGTGGAAGACTTGATCGGTTCGTTGGAAAAGAAGCAGGATAATGCCAGGGGCGCGCTACAGAAGCTGCAGCACCAACTGCAACAGGCCCAAGTGAAGGCTGCACTTCATGCCTAAGAACATTTATTTAGTGTGCGCGATCATTTTATTTAACTGAAATAGATATAATGCTGATTTCGTCATATGGCTTATCAGTTTTCTGGTTGGTTTTCACATTGCTGATGTTCTGCACCACTTCCATGCCCCTGGTCACCCTTCCAAAGACCGTATGTTTGTTGTCCAGCCAAGGAGTGGGCGTCAAAGTAATGAAAAACTGACTTCCATTAGTATTAGGCCCCGCATTGGCCATGGAAACTGTATAAGGCCGATCATGCCTTAAGTGGGGCTTGATTTCGTCCTCGAATTCGTCGCCCCAAATGCTCTCGCCACCTGTTCCGTTCCCTGTGGGGTCGCCCGTCTGTATCATGAACCCCTTGATTACCCTGCAATTTAGTTCAATTACGAAACGCCTGAATGGAAAATGTCGACGGTTATTTACCTATGGAATATATGTCCATTGTAGTATCCATTTTTGCTGTGGACGCAAAAGTTCTCCACTGTCTTCGGACAGTCTTTCATGAAGAGCTTGATGTGTACATCTCCAAATACTGTGTGAATCGTGGCGTTTTCGTATAGCCTTTGAACTGCCGGGTTTTCTGTCGCTGACATTGTGTCTTCCTTTGAAGGCTTTTCGTTGAATATGTCCCTGAAATAGATAGTTTTAAACAGCGCTCAGGGTAGAAAGGTGGCCAGTACCTGTCTTGGTCCCCTCCGAAATCATCAGGCTCTCGCCTGCTAAACAGGTAGAACCGGGACTTTTTATAGGCGGTGCACACTAGAGTAGGGTCGGGCTGAACGGCTTCCAATGTGGGGTTGTTTGAGGCCTCCATTTCCAAAGTCACGGCCGCTTTAGATCTTCTTGAAGAACCTGAAGACGGGTTTTAAGGAAATTTTGCCCACATTTGCCACCTTTTCTTACCTTGATAGAGGGCAATATTCAACATCCTCAAGTTCTCGTTCTTCCCGATTAAAGTCACCAGTTTGTTGGTGTGTAGATTAATGAGCTTGATGCCCAGCAATGTTGGATACATGATGAAGTTGCTGCTGTAGTCGAATGCACTGTTGGCCAAGTGGAAGGCTTCGGACTTTTCCAAGTCGCGTTCCACTGCCATTCTTCTGCCGAATTCCATGTTGGGAAGCTGCTGGGATTTCTGCTGAAGCTCCGTGAATCTGACAAAAAATGTGTTTGTTTTTGGTCTCTATGAGGGTCAAGTGAGGCGTCCAAGCTTACCTGGGTAGGGTTTCATCGTACACTCGCGACAGTTTTCCCGTTAGAAAGTTGAACACTCTTACACGCCGATCCGTTGAAATTGTGGCAAATTTCTTGCCGTCGGGCGATATGGTTAATGAGGTGGGCTGGGTTTTGTTCTTGGCGAACTCGAACAGATCGGTGTCCAACTTTGACTCAAACTGGATATTTTTGGGAAAGGCAAAGTCTTTCCTAATGCCAGTCCAGTATTCTAGTGCAACCCCCTCAAAGAAAGTTAATACGGGAAACGCATAGAAAACGCAACTGACCTAGCATTCCAGACTTATCCACAGACACTGCAACATCGAATTGAGGATTGTAACTGATCAATGTTACTGGTTTCAAATGAATAGTCTCCAGTACGTTCAAAGGGGCGCTGCCGCCTCTGCCATCATACACAAAAATCTTGCTGCTGTCCTGATCAGTAACAGCTACGGTGTGAATGGCGTCACCAGACCCATGAATCCACTCCACAGTACCAGGCGTGTAGTCCAGCTTCATCATGTTGATCATATCAAAGTTGATCACATCGAAGATCTTCAATGACTTGTCCAGACTGGCGCTGCCCAGCAAAGTGCCAGCACAGTTGGCCGCTATCTTGACAATGGGGCCCAGATGGCTCCTGAAATGCTTCACAAACTCAATGCCTTGTTCACTTTTCTTCCAGAACTTTATGTGCCCATCGCAACTGGCTGTTATGATGAAATCGGTCGGAGTCACCACAGTATGCGTGATAATGTCCCGGTGCATGTAGCTCTTCTCGTACGACTCTGCACAGGGCAGGTTGTCCAAGTAGAGCCGTTCGAAGGGCAGAGTTTTGCGCTTCTTGGGCTGCACTGCCTCGGAAATCGAGGGCCCCACCAAATCCGATTCTGAGTCACTGTCGCTTTCATGCGCCCTTTTTTCTTGGGGGGTTTCATCTGCTGCCCCCACTTCACTCATTTTAGCGCTAATTGTCGGGAAGTTTTCAATAAAATCGGCTGTTATATTGTGTTTATTACATGCCACGGCAGGTTATGTTTTTGTGAGTGACGTTTCGTGGCGCTCTACGCTGGGGAAAAGGACGCACTCGAGTGACGTCACGACGCGCTAGATGTTAATAATTTTTAAAACCTACTCGTTAATAAAATGAGTAAAATTTATTATTTTAGGGAATTCAAATTCGAAATTTTCCCTGCCTGTGAGGAATTAGAGGTTTTCAATTAGAGCCTGTGTTAATCCAGAATCGGGTTTACTATTAACTTACGGGTTACTATTAAGTTACTAATTAACTAATAGTTATTTGGCCTCCCTTATCAGCAAATTGTTCTTTATATAAACACAGGGAAATTAAATAGATTATCTAGGGACGTCATCTAAAACTCACTGTAGTTAATTCGAATCCCATTACCCATATACTTAGGCAAAATAATTCTCCCTGTCGATTGCGTCCAAATATTATTCTTCCTCTTACCGCAACATAATTATATTTCGGCTTATCAAGAGTTATTGGGTTTAGTTTCATTACTTTATATCTAACGGTGCTTCCAGTGGTACACTTTTGGGGAGCATGAAGTCCCAGTTCATTGAGCAGGTAGATTTAGGGTAATTAAAAAATATATAATCATAATCATGAAACATACAAAAAGGTCCAACTGCTGATGGAAACGCAACATATCAAATACACCGAGTGTATCTTCGGCAAACCCAACAATTACATGTGGCTGTGCAGCAAAAAGCCGCACATGGTCTACTGGATGTCCACGAAGGATGAAATAAAAATCCGAAACTGCCTGGACCGCGTAAGTAACCGCCTGTGAAGTGCTGCAGGTATGTGAAGCGTGCGTTTCAGATCACTCAGGAGCAGGAAATCAAAGTTCTGAAGCTGGTGCTCACTTATTTGGACAGCAATCCGAACGCCAGTCCCAGTAAAGTTCCGGAAATCACGCTGCATTACTTGAATGAGGTGATCACGTGCAATATCTTCAGACAGGCCAAAGAGGAAGCGCAAGCCGCTCAAAAACCGTTCTCTAGGTGAAGTTACTGCGCGAATAAAAAGGGATTTGAATGAAATTTGGCTTTCCAGGATGGCCAGTTTCCGTGAGAGCTTGAGGAAGTTGAGCGGTTTGAGAAACAAGAGCGCCAATTACGAGCAGCAAAAAAGGGCGGTGACTTTCGCGGAAGTTCCCACGATTTACCGCATTCCCATGCAAAAGTAGCGTGCCAATAAAGCGTCTTGCAACTGTTTCCAAATGCCCATTTAATTGCTGATAAGTGAAAGTAGTCATTCGTATATGTCCTTCCTCTCAGTCCCAAAAATTGTGTCATTTGGTGAATGGAAAGGTTTTTCGATTTCTACGATTTGTACCAGATGGTTCCGTTTGCTTAGCACTTGGCTTATCTGGCTTAATGGCAAAATGATTCTGTGCGCACTTTTTTGCCCGGCAAAATGAAATTAAAGTGTTTATTGCTTTGCGATTAGCTTATCATTAAACCGAATTATACATTGCGGTGATAAGCCAGTTTATGCGAATTTTCTATTGTTTTTTTGCTTGTGCGGGGGAGAAAAAACACACAATCGGTTTCATTATATCCTCGTTTATTTAAGGACTTTACCACGTGGTGGTCCTGTGGGTTTTTGCCTTACGGTTGAGTACCTATCCTCAAAAATTGTTGAATAGAAAAGAGTCTTTGAGGCGCTCTATTAAAAAGGTCCTGCTCGCTAAAAATGGATGTTCTTCCTTCCAACTGTTTAAGAACTAGGGATATCTAGGAATTGAATTAAAAACAGCGACTGGAAAATAATGTATTATATTAAACCTTATACATGGTGACCAATAAACCAATGGAATGATATTTTACAAAAAACCGCCGTATAAATGCACAGAATATAAACTAGAGCCAGCATTGCAGTTTTAGTCGATGGTGAAAGAATCGCCTAAAATCAGAATGCCAACTGCTGATTGATCATTCAATGTGCAAGTGATCACAACTTTAGGCGATTCTCAGGGCTGCAAAGACCAAATGTTCACTGGCTGTATATATTGGCGACTATTTATCATACAAAATTGGAAGAATCAAATTGCACTAAAACGTTTTTACATAATACAAAAACACACATTTTGCAAAATATGTATAAAGGAATTTAAACAGAACATGATCTGATTAGTTGTTAACCGCTGCTCAATTTATGCCATGCGGATTGATTGGATGATTTGGAAAACTGCTGAGCCGCACACGACGAAGAGGAAGAGGGCTAGAAGCCAGGGGCCTACTGGGGAGCTCTCCTTCTCTTGTTTCTAGAACAATAGCAACTTTTTAAGCAAGCAGATTTCTTAGCAATTAGTGATAATCGCTTTCCATCTGGAAATAAGGGCACAGCGACTTTGTCATCGGCTTTAATTTTGATTGCCGAAGCGACGGGCTTTTCAGCACAGGAGCCCTACACAGTCCCTTTATCCCTTAAAAAATACCAACTGGCCTGATTTCATCAGACAATAGTTAAGGGCTGTAATTGGGCACAGAAGTCAACAAACCCCACACTTATTAAAGTACAACTGGGAAGCAGATGAATTCCTCCCCTAAACGCCCGAAAAACCCTTGGACAAGGGAAAATCTGCGTGCAATATGGACTGCTCAGTGGCACTTACCGACGATTTGGGGACGTTGCCTCGCATGGTGACCATCTTGCTGGCCTTTTGGTTGGCGATCCGCATTCGCTGTTTAGGGGCCATGTTGAAACGAGTTGAAAATGCTGGTTTTTTCACTAAATTTCCAGAAAAACGTTCACCTTGTTGTGACGAGTCCGATCACTCAAAGGACAAACAATAGAGTGCGGCAAGGGGGGCTATTTGAAAACAAGAAATCGCTGTCACGTTGACAGTGATCAGGGCGCATGTTTCAAACGTGGAAGAAATACAGGCGAGCCACACGAACAACGCGACCAAAACTGGTGAGGTTTTTTATGTTTGCGACAATGCTTACGCCATTCGGGGGAATTTGTGCCAAATATGGCGGATGTTAGTGACAGCCGCCAATTTAAAAGTGTTTTTTTGTCAGTTTAAGTTTGAGACACTCAACTGGAAAAGTGTGGGTTTTCCCGCAGCTAATCAGGTAACAGCATTTTGCGTCTTTGCAGGTGTTTAGGGGGTTTATTTCTACACAAATTCAACTGGCTCCATATTGCGGGGTCGCCTCTGGAGAGTTCTAAAGTTGAGTTTGAAAGTCTTGGAAAGTGAAAACTAACACTTCCTTGAAATTTACACTGTTTTGAGTAAATTTCCTAAGCGATGGTTTACCTCCTAAAGGAGCCAATTAGTGCTCTATCTAGTGGTGTAAAAACGAGCGCTCCACCTCAATTTGTTCATGAGAAAATGAGCAAAAAGGTGGCGTCTGGCAAAAGGTAAAGTCCAAATTGGTTCGGTTTTGTCGTTGGTCATACATTTTTTGCAATATACCCTATACGGAGATTTTTGAAAAATAAGGATAATTTTCGAAGAATCTGAATATTCGTCTGATTGAGTATCATCATGTACCTCAACAAGTCAGGTCGGTTTCAAACACAGTCCCACGATGAATAATTTATTTACGGTACATTAAATACATTTCTCGGTGTTTTTTAGAAACCTAATATAGGATAACATTTTCTAAAACATGTAAAATTCGATCTATAGAAATATAATGATGTTTTAACATACAACCATAAATTTATGTAAAACTCCTTTTTGTAGCCGCGTCGACGTGCGGGATCTTGGCAAGGTTTAGGACCCAATTCCACTATATGATGTATGTAGGTATATAAATGATTGTTTGAGGGATGTATATGAGCATAGTTGAAAATGAAGAAATTGAGTTGTTTCTAGTGTTCAGTCGCTCAACGATCTACATTCAATGGAAGTAGGTAAATTGGAAAAAATACCCTGTATGATTTGCGGATCTCAGTTTCTTCACGTTCAATTGCCAGTGAAAGGACGACACCAAACAGATTGCTTCGGAGAAAGACTCATTGTTGAAAAACGCCTATCGAGATTGATATATTTTGTTTGGGTGCACCTGAATGTCAAGAGAGATATTTAATTAAATACGAAGGGCACCCAGAAACTACCTAAAATTGGTCCCTTGACACTACCGGACCCACCCATTTTCATTGTCGGGACGCGCTTTTATTGCATCACATTCTTCAGTGCGGATTCAGTAACGTTTAGCCTTCGGTGTTGGGCGAAAAATGCACCATTACCTGGTGCGATCTTCTGATGTCGGTTTCCGACGTCGAAGTGCCTCTCTGGTCGTGCGATTCGTGCTCAGTTGAATTGTTCCTGGAAGGCTCGTGGGAGTGGTAGCATTTGGGAATGGCTCCCGTTAGTCTAGAATCTAGACAAACGGTTCCAGACTCCTAGTCCAGATAATTGGCTTCTGGGCACTCACCTGAGCTTATGGTACGTTCCAGGTGCCCCCTTGCATGGTGGCAGCTGTTGGATTCCCGCCTTCTGCTTCTAGTTCTATAGGAGCAGTCCGACGAGTTGGAGCTGCGCCGGTTTGAGCGCGGACACGAGTGCTGGCCATGTGAAGCCAGATACTGGGCCGAGCCCCCTTAAACATCCATAACTCCTTGGTTCCTCTCACTGTGTTGAGATATACTTACCAGCGGCACTCTCCCGTAAATGTTGCCCGGACAGCCTTGGGGAGCAGGAATGCGAATTGCGCCTAGACCCTGAACCATCGTGCTTGTGCTCATCCTCCTCAATCTTCCGCTGCCTCTTCAGCGGGTTCCGGCGCTTGTCCCGGATCTTCAGCGTCACTGCCTCCAAGTGCAAGTCCATTGCCATGGAGCCTTGCGATCCGGTGCCGTGTTGCAACGATTCATTGCTTCTAAACTAACCATCTATTCTCTGGTTGGAATGGAAATTCAACGGGTTACCTGTAGTTGCCCCCAGTTTCGTCAACGCTCAAGGCTTGCCGGTGCAAAAGGCCCGGATTGAGCAAGGCGCACGCCGCAAAGGTTCGCCTAGACTGGCGCCCGGCGATTGGAGACTTGTGAGCCACCGGATGGCTACTGGATGTTGGCGAAGCCTCTTTGCTGCTGCTGGCAGGCTGCAGGACTAAGTCCGGAGCGGATGGACTGCGATTTATTGAGCTCTGGAACGGATTCTTTAGCCCCGAACCTCTGGCCACTACAAGATTGGTGGGTACCTGCGGAACTTTCAGGGAACTGCTCCTGGTGCCACTGGGAGACGCGCCTTGGAAGTTCTTGTGCACGCTGATGTTCTTCGAGTCTAGGGCCAGGCCGCGCGAGAATTGCACGAACGACTGGGTCAGGCTGTGCCTGTCAGCGGTGTGCATGTGGTGCCGATGGTGCTCTCCATGGTGGTTCCCGTAGTGCGTCGAGGTGGTCACATTAGCTGAAACTCAATCGTATAAAACCGCCCTTAGCATTAAAGGGTGGTTAATACCGGCAGTTTGAGAGCCGGCAGTACGAAGCGAACCATGCCCATTCCGAACAGCCGCGTTATGAGCACAGGTTCCACTAGGCGGTCCAGTTGTGCTGAGTTTCAGCCGAGCGGGCACCACTTTGGCTGCGGAGTCCCGAGCCTCGAAAGTCATCACGCACGCTGCCACCACAATGAAACCTTCAATCAGAGAGGTTGATTTGAGGCGTTTTTGACCAGTATTATTATTGAGGTCTTTTGTGGAGCACTTACCTCCAACTCCCATCACAATGGGGCCAGCATAGGAGAGATTGTTCAGGTGGAAGCCTCTGGACTCGTTTTTCACCGCCACTGTGTGATTGCCGCGGATTTCCTGAGCCACTGATAGTTGGTCCGCGTAATAGCCTGCAACATGAACGCGGTTTCATTCAAAACTCTTTGTTTGCAGGCGGACGGACCGATTGTGGCCATTGCGGCGCCCAGAAGCATCAGCAGCAGGCCCAGGCTCAATGCTTTGCAAGCGTTCCACAAGCATTTCCCGTTCACTTTGCCTCGCACCACCTGGACGTTCCATTGCGCCCCTGAGGCTGGATGGGCTCTTCGTACCACTTCGGAGGTGCCTCCTCTGGTCCAGCCTCCCGACAGGAGCGCGCCACGATTCGCTGCGCTCATCTTGAGCCGCGGTCTTTTCACTACAAGTTAACGAGGAGGTAAAGGAATAAATCTACATTTTAGATCAATCGGAAATTACCTCAAAATATTTCAGTGCTGGCGCTCATTAAGGGTGCGGGCGGTAAGACCAACAAAGCGACAGGAAGTGTGCATGCTCGGGACCCACACGCGGTTAAGACGCATCCAACGGAACTGATCTTACATAATAATTATAAACATCTCAGGGAGATTGAAATATGTTACAGCCAGCATCCCTTTCAACAGGTTTGTACATGCGCCAAGTACGTTCTTGTATCGACCCTGCCTCTGACCCGCCTGGGTTTGACGCCCCTGGTCAAAAATGTATCCATAGTTTCTATTAGAGAATAGCTTTTAATTGCTCATATTTTAGCTGTTAATCGTTTTGCTGGTATTAGGGGCCGCCCTCAGTATGTCGGAGAAGTTTGGCTGCTCAGAATTTCATCAAAATGTTCAAGCCTAGAGCGCGAAGATTAAGTAGTGGGTTTTCCTGTCCGTTATTCAATGAATAAAATTAATTCACAGTTTTGAGGCCTTTAGGCAAGGGTTTTCTCTCTAAGAAAATGCAACCTAATAATTCTCCAATCAGTTCAAAATTGGCGCCACAGTTTGTCATTCAACACTCGGGATTAATCGCACTCTGTCGGCGGAGCCAGTCTAGATTTCACATTCTGTCCCTCTCTCTCTGCATGTATCTAAATGCGTGCTTGTAACTGAGCCAACTAGACAAGCGATCGCGTGGCTCCTAGCGAATCGAGCACGTCACTCGGTTTAAATCAGCTGCGTAGTTTCCATCACACTTGCGTACTAAATCCCAGGTTGTGATTGGTGGATTGTTGGATTTCGTTTCATCCATAGATAAAGACGTATAGCCAGAGATGCCAGGTCTACGGATTTGTCAAGGAACCTACCGATCTACCGATACCACGCAGATTTCTACCAAAAAGTAACAAATAAAATTTAAAAAATTATTCGTGGATTACTTAAAATAATATAACATATTTCCATTCATGATCAAAGTACGTTGGTAATAGCAGACATTTTATTTTAGCACACCTCGTATTTTAGAGTTCTTTTTCAAACATAAAATTAATCAAGCCCACCATATAGATCATAAATATGATAAAATTATGTTTTATGGATCCTGCGATAGTGAAACCAGGTTCCCTACAATCTATTTCTGATGTTGCAATGATATTTCCAAATTTAATAACTGAGTGAATTACAAGGTCTGGACACAGAATGACGTCTGTGAATTTTTCTGGAAATATTGAAGAGTTTCGGAGCCAATATTGAAATATGGAGGTGATACATTCATGTTTCCGATTTTAACCAATTTTACTTGTAACCTGCTTATTCTACCTCACTCATCAGCCAATGTTGAACGGATATTTTCACATGTTAATCTAATGAAAACTAAGTTGAGAAATAAGCTAAAAACGAGCACAATTTCATTTTTACTTCTTTACTGACTCATGCTTATTTTAGTATTCCTGTAAGTTTAAAAATTCAAGTTCAAAAACGCGCGATTTTATGGAGCCTTTTTTTTGGTGAGGTTTTGGACTACCCAATCAGCTCTGGCCCTTAATAATGAAAGAAAAATGAGTCTACTGATTTTCTACCGAAAAGTGTCGAGCTTATCTACCGAAACTCGATTTTCGGACCTGGCAACCCTGCGTATAGCAGATCAAAATAAAAACATTCGTCGTCAAACAATCCAGATTTTTATGTTGCATTTCGGTGCTACGCTAAGTGGATTAATCGTGATATTTTGAGATACGTTCAGAAGAGTTACAAGATGAGTTCGAAGAAACACGATTTGGAGATTGTGTACAGTTTGCGATGGAAAAACCGGACGAAGCGAGAGGAAAGCAAGGAAATGTCGGTCGTTGTCGTCGTCTACGATATTCCATCGACTACGTTGAATTTCGAAACTTTCAAAAACTACCTGGTAATGTTCCATAGCTTACTTTCGCAAAGTTTCGTTGTCGGTGGCCTTTGATTAGAATCAATAAAAGCTTTTAAGGCCTTTGATGACTTAACAATCTTCGGCCATATTAGATGTATGCCAGCTGCGATTTGTTTGTATCCTTTCAAAGAAACCTTGGCAACGGAGGGTTGTTTATATACCAGCAGCCATACGCCATTAGAATTGACCTTTTCCAAAGCATCCTTTAATGGAAAAATTACTCTCCATTGTTACTTATCTCTTATCACTAGGTACGGGGATTACCCCGAATATCTCCAATGTTTATTTATATGACTATTATTTCTATTAGTCATACTTATCACCTGCTTTATTTTTGCAGCTGAAGAACTCCGGAACACCTGAGGACGACGTCAGAGTCTACTTCATCATGGACAATGGCAAAGAATACCTCATTCAGTCGCAGACCGATTTTCAAGTGGCCCTGTATGCCTTCAGGCGTGAGTTCTCCACAATAACCCACTTTAACTCCACTACAGCAAGGTGTGCTTGCAGGCAAAGCGCGAGCTGGTGAAATGATCAATTTGTTGCTGGAGAGAGTCTCCGAACAGCCAACGCACAAAAACTTGCGCCATTCAAACGACGTGGAAACTCAATTTGACAATGTGGATGCGACTTCGATTCTCTCAACTTGCTGCAATGCTGATACCGCTCCAGAATGGTTTATCGCAGGGTTGGCGCAAGCAAGTCACAATTTTCTCCTCACTTAACACCCCATATAATCGATGATTTGCAGCTGAAGAAAGAAATCAAAGACGAAATCACATCAAATGTGTCAACACTCATTGCAAGTGCAGTCGCCGAGATTAAATCACCATGTCTGGCCCCTGTTCCAGCTCAACATGCGTCTTGCAGCAACAGGGCGAGAGCCAAGCCCTACAAATGGTCCAAAAAGTTGACTCCCCAATTAGTCGAGAATATTACCGAGTAAGGAAAAGCCTCATATCGGCAGTTTAGGGTTTGGCATTGATTTCTTTCAGCACCAAAGTCCTGCTCAAATCCTTGAAATTGGAAAACAAGCTGGACAAGCTGGAGCGCAAAGCTTCAAAGTATCGTGAAAAGCGCCATGCATTGCAACACGGCCAAAAGTCGAGCGATAATGCCCCCAAGTCCAGCGACAGCGAGGCTGGACCTTCGAAAAGCAACAGCAGGTAGATTAGTTAATTGTATTGTTGTACTTGTTGAATCACCGTGTTTTGTCAGATCAATTGGCAAAGAGATAAAGCGCAAGTTGGAAGAACATCAACGCAAGCAGGAAGAACCAATCGCTCATCAGCAATCAGATGAGCCTAAAATGGGCGCTCGGCCTGTTAGTAGACAGAGATCCGTGCCTCACATGGTAGGAGGCGAGATTTACCTGCATCAGTGGGAAGTTCAGAATACCGGCGAGGCCCAATGGACACTCATGGTGCGTTATCGCACAGGGCGACTCATCTATACAATGTTGGTTTGAATTTTCAGACCCAACTGCAGTACACTTGGGGCTCCAAGAAGCTGATCCCGTTAAGTCAGTACATTACTGTGCCGCACTTGAAACCTGGGGAAATAGGGACAATTTCGATTCGCTTGCATATTCCCAGTAAGTTAACCTGCAACGTTTAGTGCAGTTAACCATAGTCGAATTTTAGCTCACCCCGGGATTTACGAATGTTACTGGCAATTCTTGCACAAGGGACGTCGTTTCGGCGACTGGTTAGATGTTCAAGTTATTGTCGATCCTTTTGACCTAAAAGGACATTCTTCTGTTCTGGAACATTCCGGCCCGCAGGCGTGCCATTTTATTAACCCGAGTGAGCTTCAAGGTGAGCATAGTTTTAGTCTGATGGAAAATTGGGCTAAATGATGTCGTTTTTAAGAAAATGTAGGAAAAATCAGTGAATCCGACCAAATCCTATTGCAAGCAGGCCTGTTTGTACAAACTCCTGGTTACAAATCCCTGCAGGATCAGGATACAATCGACAGGTTCAAAGTTTTACATCAAATGGGGAAAATGAGCTTGGAGGATGAAGCTAAGTCTGAATTACTCAACAGACTGATTAAGGAGGATGACGTCGATTCTGACTGCAGCTGGAGTATGGGCAGCGCCGCAAGAGGCTCTTTGTTAGCTAATGTAGTGTTTGTTCTAGATTCCGAGCGTGCACATGTTGACGAGTTCGTATTGATGCCTCCAGTCCCTCAATCCTTTGTGCTGGACTCTCCCGACACCACTAAGACTCAAGCTAAGACTCCGGCAAAACAAGTTAACGCAGAGTCAAGTGCTGTCACGTCCGATTTGAAAACCAACAAAGCCGGTAGCTCTGAAAGCTTTGATGATAACAACAATACTGACTGCGTGTCCAGATCATCGGTAAACTCTATTAAATTTAGAGACGAAGAGTTGGACAATATTGTGGTTATTACCCTACCAAAGGACGAACAAGTCAAAGAAGGTTTCATATACGTGCATGTCGATGGGCAGAAAGTGCTTGTTCCCAAGAATATTTTGAAATCCGAAATCATCTCTGCGGCTCAGGAGTTTAACAATTATCGAAGCGGAAGCAGCTCCGCTGGAATCGTAATTGATGCGAGTGAGACTCTAAACAAATCACCTACGCCATCGCTTGCCTCGACGATAATCAATCAAGATACTGAAGTAAACGGGGCGAACAAACCAAAGCAAGAAAACTTGATTTCGGCAGAGTCCCTGGAGCTGTTCTGCGACATGCAAGAATATCCCTCTTGTGCCCAACAGGCGGTCGATTTAACGGTGGGTCCAAAGGATACTTTTGATACCAGCACTATCGATGAGGCTCTAGATAGAAGCAGCTATTTCGAGGCCAACAACTTTATGTCTCATTGTTCAGCTGCTGGCTCCTGTTTCTCAGAGGTGAGTAAAATGAAAAAAATTACGTGTCCGAACAATGTGAGGTATTTGGTAATGGAACGCTTGTGTTACAGTTTAACACCAACGCTGAAAGGCAAACTAGAATGTTCGTTTTCCCTCAGGATGTTCCTGGATACGAGGTCATTTATCCTACATTGGACATCAATCCTGAAGAGGCCACTCTAACCACTGACAGTTGCGGTAAGAGGACCGTTGAAGAATGTTGCCGAATGAACGAACTGGTTTGGTTTTAGTTGCACCCAAGCCGAACCAACCTGCCAGTGTGCTTGCGCAGGAGGCGATTTCGCATCCATTGGAAGCAGTGCCGAATTATCAGCAAACACCGGTTGAACTTCGCAGATCTCCGGTTCAGTCACCACAAGCGACTGTGCGAGAAACGGAACCCGCCGCAAGCACACACCCGCTTCAAGAACCCATCCCCGAACTGACCGCGCAACATCGACCCAATGCTGATAATGGATGGGTTTCAGCCTCCCGCCCTCACATTCTACCAGAAGGTTTGGTTTCTGGGGCTGTTAGTGCTGCCCGATCAGTAATGAATATGATTCGACCTCAGGTATGTTTTTTGAGCGCCGTATCATAAACTTAGCGGCTTAATCGCTCAAGGGCG